CATTGGAAAGAATTATACATGATTTGTGGTGGTACTGGAATTGCACCAATGTTACAAGTAAGATTTTTATTGTAAAATAATAATATATTTTTATTCATTGTTTTTGTTATTTATTTATCATTGTCATTATTATTGTAATGAAATAGCTGATGATATATCATTTGGAATTGTGTATGAGGCGCAGCCGGGCATCAACAACACGTAATAAACGAGTGTCAATGCATTTGTTATATGGTAATTATAGAGTAGAGGATATAATTAATGGTGTAGAATTAGAAGAGTATCGGTTAAGTAGTAGGGGTATGCTATCCATAACATATTCATTAAATAAACCACCCCCTGAATGGACAGGGAAAATTGGTGAAATTAATCAAGAAATGATTTCAGATTGGTTAGGTGAACTGGTCGTAAATGATAGTAAAAACAAAATTACTGCTGATGATACTGATATACCAGATTCCCTTAGTCCACAACCATTTATAAAACATTCATCATATGGTGGTGGTTCATTAAATAATATGTCAAACATGATACAATTTAATAGTTATAACAATACAACAAACACATCATATTTGCCAATTAATACAAGTCAATCACAACTTAATAATAGTGATGATGATATTAATACAAATACAACAAATTTGCCAACTAGTACAAATCCACCACAATTTTATAATCCTTTATCATATGATAATAATAATGATAATCGACCACCAATAATACCACATCATACAAAACCTCCACCACCAAGTATAGTGTTTAGTAATAATCAGAACACTTATAGAACATCAATTAATCCAGAAAGTGCTTTAAGTTATAATTATGCTCAACATTATAGAACGCCAACACCATTATCGTCACCACCATTATTATCACCACCATTATTATCACCACCATCATTATCACCACCATCATTATCACCACCACTACTACCATCATCACCACCACAACGATATAGAGATTCATATGTAAATAAAAACTATATTAAACTTAATAGCAAAAAGAGTGATGATGAAATTAGTGAAGCACATAGTAATGTTACTGCTGGTAATAACGAAATCTTTAATATTTTGTTATGTTAACTATCCAAATAAAATTTAAAGTATAATTTTTTCTTTATATGAAAATTATTATAATACAATTGAATAAATATGTATGCTTATAAAACTATTTTATTTAATTCGAGTACACTTATTATTTGAACCTTTGATCCATGTCGGCCAAATAGTAAATTCTTCCTTTTGTCTATGCGAACAAAAAAAAAATTATATTTGATAACAAAAAAATTTATGTAGTGGAGGTCAACTTTTTGTGCAAATGTGCTCCATTCTATTCTTCGTTAATCAATAAATTCATAAGTAGTATCAAAATTTTAAAATAAAGAATTCGTAAAGCACATCAATGTGTTACCTGAAACTTGGATAAAAGAAAAGTTTCGTCAGAAAACAGGCTTTGTGTGTTCTCATTTTCATTCCATTTGTAATTATTAAATCTCGCACATAATAATAGATAATATTACATTCCTTCATTAACTCATATCTCCTAATTAACATTGTAACAATGAATGTAATCAGTGAATTTTAATGAATATAATGAGTGAACGAGCGCATTATAACAAAATTCAACAGGCGTTGCGATTGAATTTGCCAGTAAATGTTTCACGTGATTAAATCGACTAGTTAATTTTCTTGAATTTTCACGGTTAATTAACTGGTCAAAGAATCTAATTCTGTGGTGCAAAAAGAATAATACAACTTTTCATGTAAAGGTTGGCAATTAGCAAATCTGCATGTCTATACATAATAATGCATGTTAATTTTTATCTTTTGATTAACTTTAACCTAGGAAAATAATAATTAATAAATAAAAAAAAAGTTTTTTGAAAATTATGTTGTCCGTTAATTTAAGGCTTAGATACAGAACACGAGAATAAATATTTAAATCATGTAAATTTCTGTTAGTTTTGGTTGAAACCTGTAAACTTGTAATTTCATTAAATTGGTTCTTTTTATTTGCTGGTAGATTTACGGTTCTCTTTTTTTCAATTCATTCTTATGATCAGTATCCGACGTCCACTTCTTGCTAACCCTTCAACGCTACCTCTCTCCTGGAAGTTTTGCAAAGCCATTTGTTTTAGAAATATATGAATAGTATTATTGTCTCTGTAAAGTTCAATTATTTGCCACGTTCAAATTCTTTTTTTAGAGAAAAAATCTTAATTTTTTAAGTAAACTACAAAAAAAAATTGGAAAAATATATGATGACGCGTTGTGTCAGGACTCAAGCTATACATGCCAGAATTTCAGGTGTGGTTATTATGCAAGTTTTTTAAAACCATTTTGGTCAAATTCTTTAATATTTAAACCTACAATTGATATAAATTATTTATGCTTTTATTATGTACGTTTTTGCAGGATTATTAGATTTGTGGTGACTGAAACTTTTGTCTAGGGAGGGAGTAATAAAATTTATAGATACAAATATAAATAAATAAGCCATATATATAATTTTAAATAAAGTTTTTATGCTATTAATATAAAATCTTCCTCAGTATAACCTAGATATTGTAATGTTTGCTCAACTACATTTATCATACCAGATTGTCCACAAACAAATATTTTACTGTTAGGATTAAGTTTAGATTTTCTCTTATTATTACCAGCAGTAACATTACTATGTGCTTCACTAATTTCATCATCACTCTTTTTGCTATTAAGTTTAATATAGTTTTTATTTACATATGAATCTCTATATCGTTGTGGTGGTGATGATGGTAGTAGTGGTGGTGATAATGATGGTGGTGATAATGATGGTGGTGATAATAATGGTGGTGATAATAATGGTGGTGACGATAATGGTGGTGGCGTTCTATAATGTTGAGCATAATTATAACTTAAAGCACTTTCTGGATTAATTGATGTTCTATAAGTGTTCTGATTATTACTAAACACTATACTTGGTGGTGGAGGTTTTGTATGATGTGGTATTATTGGTGGTCGATTATCATTATTATTATCATATGATAAAGGATTATAAAATTGTGGTGGATTTGTACTAGTTGGCAAATTTGTTGTATTTGTATTAATATCATCATCACTATTATTAAGTTGTGATTGACTTGTATTAATTGGCAAATATGATGTGTTTGTTGTATTGTTATAACTATTAAATTGTATCATGTTTGACATATTATTTAATGAACCACCACCATATGATGAATGTTTTATAAATGGTTGTGGACTAAGGGAATCTGGTATATCAGTATCATCAGCAGTAATTTTGTTTTTACTATCATTTACGACCAGTTCACCTAACCAATCTGAAATCATTTCTTGATTAATTTCACCAATTTTCCCTGTCCATTCAGGGGGTGGTTTATTTAATGAATATGTTATGGATAGCATACCCCTACTACTTAACCGATACTCTTCTAATTCTACACCATTAATTATATCCTCTACTCTATAATTACCATATAACAAATGCATTGACACTCGTTTATTACGTGTTGTTGATGCCCGGCTGCGCCTCATACACAATTCCAAATGATATATCATCAGCTATTTCATTACAATAATAATGACAATGATAAATAAATAACAAAAACAATGAATAAAAATATATTATTATTTTACAATAAAAATCTTACTTGTAACATTGGTGCAATTCCAGTACCACCACAAATCATGTATAATTCTTTCCAGTGACCATCCTGAGTATTAGGATTAAGTAAGGAACTTGTTGATGAAGATATAAATGATGGGGTGGATAAGCTATATATACTTGATTTTCTATATTGTGATGCTGCATCAACAGTCTGGGATAATGTTGGTGTTTGCAAAACTTCTCTATCTCCAACATCAAATGGTCCTCTCACTTGAATCTCATATCCTTTTAATTGTTCATTCTAAAGCATGATTGGTTATTAATTAATTAAAATCAATAAATGACTAATGGATTTAAATAATAATAAATATAGCATTATATAATTATTAATTATTTTAAACTTTACCAAATGTCGTGACATTAATCCATCTGGATACACTTTAACAAAAATACTAAAACTTTGGGCAATACTGCCTTCTATTGGTGTATAACTTCTAATTACTACTTGTCCTTTAATTCTTGATTGCACTTCAATATAATGTCCAGGCAAGAATTTCAATTTATGATTATAAGCTTCATTTTCATGTACTATTGTGAATGTGAATTTCATCACTGGGTACGTTTTACTGCCATTGATAGGTACTTTGCTTGTTAATTTGTATCTACGGAACTTTACTCTAAATGCTGTATCTTGTTTAGCAATTTCTGAATCACTTAATCTTCCATCAGCTACATTTGTTGGTCCAAATATTGGTGCAGGTGACATCTGTGATCCAAGAACAACATCTGGGGTTTCTTTTAATTTTGCCACAATCATTGTTGCTATTTTCTTAATTGCAAACAAACTATGTGGATGTATAGCCAAAGGTGCCTTTAAAAAATATTTAACATTCATATCATCAACAACTTGTGCAACTGAATTTTTTTCAGTTGTGTATTTTTTGGTTCTCTCATGTAAAATATCTTTATACTTCCCTAAAACTGATGATGATATACCAGTTGGAACAGACTTTATTTCTGGAATGTTACTAATCTGCTCAATAATCCCTTTACCTTTATAACCAAAAAAATCATTTGTTATGTCAGTTCCAATGACACGTTCAAGAATTTTTGCTCCACCAGGATGTACCTTAATCCATTTTCTCATATTAACAATAAATCCATCACAAACTATTAAATATGCTCCACGTTGAACACGCTCATTAATTTCACTCCATGTAAATTCTGGCATTTTAGCTAAATCTTCTTCAGTAATATATGATGAAATAATGGAGTTTTTTTTATTTCCTTCTTCATTTCCTTTTTTAGAATTCAACAAGGTATATTTCCATTTCCAAGTCCCTTTCCAATTCCACCAATATTCACTAAATATATATGCTGCTACCATTACACTAATCCATATAAGATATGCAACCTTGTAACGAAATGATTCAAACCCATAAGATAAACTATATGTATCAATTCCCAAATATATATTTACCCATGCACATAATAATAAGGAAATTCCAAAAAGTCTGTGAATTCTTTTAAGAAATCTAGGATATCCCTGATTAACTGACACTATTGCCACTTGACCCCACATTGATATTAGACCTAATCCAAGTTCAATAAATAACAAAAAATATATTGTCAATCCTAGCCATGAATGACTTGTTTTCATACTAATTGTTGCCATAGCTGCTGCACCAAAGCTACCAATACTAATACCACCAAGCAATTGTGCAAATCGATGTATTTTGATGTAGCTATTGGTATGTTTGTAATATCTTACAATAAAAATAGAAACAGGAAATAGAATGCTATAATGGAATGGAAATGATAATTAATAATTTTTTTCAAAATGCAAAGATATTTGATGTATATTTAATATCAATATCCTACCACCAAGTTAAGAACATTCCAATTCCATGAGCTAATTTTGCTAATCTTTGACCATTAGATACAGATGATGAAAATTGATTACTGTAAAAATCATATAGTGTTAATTGACGATTATTTTGATGATATGAAAATACTGAACTTGCAGGATTATAAGCCAAAATAACTAAAAACAATAATTATTATTCTTATGAGAAAAAATAATAAAAAGAGAAACTAATTATAATATTTTTGCAAAATTATCATTACATTTCACAGATCCACTTCTAATCCCTTTTCTTCCATTAGGTATTAAAGGTCTTGAGAATTCAATAATTGCAAAATTATCTTTAATAGGAGGTGTGTAATTAATTATTTGTAAATCTGAGTCATCACCATCAGGTGTAGGAGGGTAGTAACCAGTTGGAGCTGATCGATAATTTGATAAAGATGATAAATTTCCATTAGAAATCTAAAAAAACAAAAATTTTAATATTATGATTTTTTAATTTTTACAAGATCATACATAAGACAATTATTTTTTAAAAAATAACTTACAATCCCAATCACAAAATCTGCTCCAGTCATTCCATTATTATCAGGATCAAATCCCTATTTTATTATTCAAATAAATAAATATATTGTAAATTTTATCACTGTCATCATCATAATCTTGACATTATCAACTAAATAACCAACTCACCATTCCAAACCATGCATTACCATCTGTAGTTAGTATTTGAACTTGGAAATTAATATGATTTCTAATTATTTCATAACCAATAACATATGCTGCTGGCCATAAAGCAATACGATTAAGGTATTTTGATGACTCGAACAATTTCTGCTTTGGTTGAACTGACCAAATATTTTGTGGGATTGCTGGATGAAAAATTTCATCTAAATTACGTAAAATAATATCTCTAAATGTTGTTTTATTTCTAAGTTTGGTGGTTCTATCTTCATCAGTAAACAAGTTATTCTCTCTGTTTTCCCACCAAAATCTATCTGAATCTCTAATATTTGCAAACTATTAAATAAATAAATAAGTGATAAACAGGCAATGAAAAATAAATAAATAGATGGTAAAGCAAACAATGAAAATATTAGATAAAACAATAATAAGTAATAAGTAATAATAATAATAAATAATGTTACCTGAGTAATCATACTAGCATTCAATAATTCACCAAGATTTGTTCCATTCAAATGATCTTCAGCCATTGCTCCAACCAAAGCTTCTAATTGATTAGTTCCATTAGGATACAATTTTTGTAGATTATCCTGTATTTCTTTAACCGAAGTTATATCTGCCCATGTATCTTTTTTTTTTAAACCATATGCCTGACGAACATCATTATATAATGCAATTCCTATAATATATGCATGTTAACATTATTTCATATATATATATAAAATACATAAAACACACACATATTCATACCTCTATCTCTAGCTCTTAGTGCATCAAATGCCACAAGATCATAAGTGTTTGGTTCAGGTGATTGAACATTTCTTGTTGCATCAGAATAATATATATCAACATCTTCTTGACGTTGCAAAGACATTGATCCCAACAAATTTGCTACACCAAATTTTTCTAGTAAATTTGGTATCATAATATTTTGTAATGATAATTGCACAATTGAATTACCAAATTCATCTTGAATTTGATAAAAATCACTCAGCTCACTATGACCATATCTGAATGTTATTGTTGAAAAAAAAACATCAATTCCTGGAGTTAGATCTGGATCATATTTTTGATATGGTGGTAATGGTTTACCCAGTATAACACCAAGATATTCTTCAGTAACAACTCTTTGATAAAATGCAATATTCCATTTCCTCTGATTAATTAAAAAATTAAAAAATTAATTATTATTATAATTATTACTATATTACTATCATTAACAAATATAAAACCTACAGCCTCTTCAAAATATTGATCATCAGTCCATGCATCACCATTTTTTTCATAAAACTCATCACATAATCTATTATGTTCACGTAACCAAATAGTCAGAATAGCCATTGTAAAAATATTATTTGATCGTTTGGAAGTAGGTCCAGTAACATATATTCCTGTTGTTGGATCCTTAAATGGGTAAGGATCATATGCATTTCCACTGGTCTTTAATTTTCCTCTATTACCCTCACGAAGATCTTTTGCATCTTCAGCAGTGACACCATAAATAGGACTCAAGTCCAGAAAAGGAGTTGCCATATTGTAACCAGTACGCTTGGGTGTTTGTGTAGGAAGAAAATCTGATCGATTAAAAGCAAGTGACTTCGAATTACTTAATTGACCTGGTAATGACGTTATTGGATTATAAGTTGCATCATCAGATGGTATATACAATTGATGACTTGATGGAGCATGGTTTCTTGAGTTGCAAATATCATAACTAACAAATTGAGCAAAAAAAGTGATCTAGAAAAGAAATCAAACAAAAGATTATTTAATTCAAAAAATCAATTTGAGAAAACAAATACAAATAAACAGTTGTTAAAAGAATTTTTTTTACCATATGGCTAGTTTGTCTTTTAGATCGATAACCCATTGCCTTTGCCATATCAAATTGATCTAATTGATAATTAGTTATAATATTAGAGATACATCTTGGCATTGGATAAATATCGGCTAGTAATGGATCAGTACACTTGGGTATTGGTTGTTTTGGGTCAGTGTCAACAATATCAGAAGGAGTTTTTATCATTGAATCTCCATCTGGGCTAATAATATTGTTGATTAAAAAAAAAAAAGAATTAAACCATTAATTATTTATTTAATAAATGATTTAATAACAGTACTAAAATGGTATAATTACCCAAAAAAAGGTTCGGGTGGATATTTCATTTGAAAATTTTGTTTTGGGGCACCAGAAGTTGGATTGTTTAAATTATTATCACTACCATCTGTAAGTCGAGATTCTATTTTACATGGTAACAATAAAAATATGAATAATATCAGCAGAAAAAGATGAAATTGAAGTGATGAATTTCCTCTTTCTCTTTGATGATTATAAAACATTTTTTATTTTTTTTAAAATTTTTTTTTTTCAAAAAATTCAAATTGATTTATAAAGATGTGCCTGCATAACTTTTTGTTTTGTTAATTCATTCGACGTATTATTTTAATTTTTTCTATTGTAACGCGCCATGTTACAAGTAAGAAATTCAAGTGGTTCGACGATCAAACCGCGAATTTCAAAATATGATTAAAAATTTTTTTTACGAGGTTTCAACAAATAAAGTAAATGGCACATTTAAATACATATTAATATTAACAGTTAATACGGCAAATCTTTCCACGAGTTATGACATGGCTGTGTATAATTCGACACTATGAGATCAAATTTATCAAATTTAGTCATGATTTTTACGGCCGTGAACATAACAGATAGAAGTCAACGCCAATCAATATTTTGAAAAAACCTCATTGTCACAATAAAATTTGAGACCCAATCTATGCTATTTTTAAAAAGGTAGGCCAGGAAGTTATTTCCATTATCTCAAAGATCACATGTAAAAGTTGGCGATTTAAGAGGTCCTGTACCATATTAATCAAATTGTACGGACGATATTATGCCTCTTGACTTGTGCATTTCACCAAAGAACATTATTGAATGGAGTAAATCTGGAAAGAAAATCATGCTGTGGCTAATGCATAACGTGTAAAAATAAAAACGACCTGTTAGGTCGTTGTTCTATTTAAAGAAGATCCATATTGAGTTCATTTATAATATAGAAGAATTGGCTAATAGAAAACCTTACTAAAAAAGGTATGGATTTAAATTTTTTCAATGAAGTTCATTTTTTATAGAATCAAAAAATTTTAATTGATGTAATAAAATAACTGAATAAACCTGTGCAATTTGGGCTTCATGATAATGAAGTGACAATAAAATCGTAAATGTGATTGAATTTTCAGTCGATGTAATGAATTTTCATCTGGTTCGATAATATAAGTAACAAGCAAATATTTGCAAAGGCCCAAAGATTCCCAGCTCAGTAATAAAAAGTTTTACTATGCTTGATTATAAAATTACGTTAAAAAATTACATTTTAATATAAATTAATAAAATAGTTCAAGAAAAAAAAATCTAGTGCTATAAGTGATATAATAAGTCTCGAGCTTTTGTTTAATGCTACTTTCATGACTGTAATAGCGGTTGGATTGGGATAGATTTTTTTTTTTATGACACGTAACTTTGATTTGCATAGACCATAATGTGAAAAAAGCAACTCTTTATGCAGAACATTTTAGAACAGAAAACATACCAATTTCGCATAGTAATAGTAATATTGATATTAAAAGCGACGAACAATCAAACTCTTGGCTAAAATAAAAAACTTGATGATAATAAAATCTACTGATTTATAGGAAATCAAAAAATTTTTTTGTTTATACTTTTTAAATGATTTTAGCTCAGGATTATGTGCCATGTACTTGAATTTAATAACAAGTAGTTTTTGTTTCCATATTTTGTCGAGGTTTTACTTTAAGTCAAATTGTCAAAATAGTCCTTGATGAGAGACTACCTTTTTAGTCAATGCTTTACTCATGTAATGACTAAAGTAAAAGCTTCATCATTTCACATCATATGAGTAATAATTAGTCAGGTAGCTTGTTCTCGGCTCTGGTTGAAAAGCATACAGTGCAAGCACCGTGTAAATCTAGCGTGCATACTGTGCGTAGAATTAAATTAGCCAATCAAAAGTAATTTTGCCCTATGGATCTTAATTTGGCATATATCAAGCAGGGCATGAAAAATATTGTGATATTTCGTACGCAAGCCGTGACAAATATAAAGTCATTTACTGAATGAAAACTTTTTACTCGTGACGATCATAATAGAATTAATGCGTTACACGTAAAAAAAAACCATTATTAATCACTAAAAATAGAGAGGATCCAAATAATGTAGATCGTTTTAATATTTACTAAATTAGTATTTATTAAATTCGTCTCCTTGTATAATTTTTTTGGGGCGGTTATCCTATTTATATTTTTCGAATTTAAGCTTCAGCAAAATGGAGAAGAGATGCCACATATTAATATGTAAACTTGAATAAGTCGGTCACACAGGAGGGCTAATTTATATAATTTTTTTTAAATAATAAAAATGTTTAAACAACGTATAGATTTATTCATTACAAAAAAAAACTTTCTAAGGTAGGTGGTTGCTTTAAAAGCGTTTTGTTTTTCTTCTAATTTGATGTTGTTGATATTACCGAGTTATTTATTTTCATATCAGAATTTTGTTGTAAGTAATTAAATAGATTTTTGAATACTATCCAAAGCAACTTTATGCAATTATAGTTTCTTCTAGAGTCAATGTTAATTTCCAGATTAAAAAAATATCTATCTTTATTCGAGAGAAAAGATAGAAATTGATTGTATTTTAATTATCACCTTTAGATCCAAATAATTTTTACAGATTTAACAAATTAATGAGACAAAAGATAAAAAGAAACTGTCCTTTTGAAAATGTAGATTCTTTTGATATATAAAGATTTGGCAATTATCTATATAATCTATGATTAAAAAATAACTTATTATCATCCCGTGTAACAAAATTCGAAAACTTTAGTCAATATGCGTAATTGCGGTCAGTGTTCCCATTCTTGTAGATCACCAAACATAGATTACAATTACTATATACGGATTTTTTCAAAATAAATTTTAATAATAATAACAAGAATTTAGGAAAAATAGCAAGTAAAAGTTACACGCCAATTTTTCGTTTTTTATAATATATTAATAAAACAAATACAGTCAAAGCCTCGTTTCAACGAATCTTGTTTCAACGAATTTTATATTAATATATATATTGTGTTACAACGATAACGATTTTTTTGTATAATAATAAGTATTAATCGCGTTACAACGAATTCACAATGTGTGTTAATATGATTTTCCCAGATTTTCCAAATTAAAAAAAATACACTACTAATAGTTTTACACAATAACAAAAAATCCGCATTATTAAAAAAAAACCACTTTACTAAATAACAAGTATTTGAATGTTGAACTTGAATGAGCCAGTGAGCTTGTACATATCAAATCACACAAAAAAGGACTCTTTTTACTATATAGAACATTCTAAAGCAGTTTTTACAAATTTGGAATATTAATACTGAACAAAAAAAAAAAAATAATCACAATTAAAAATTTTAATTCAATTTATTTAGTCCATCACTGTTGATTTTTCTTAATCTTTTGTATTCATTTACAGCATCTTTTGAACATTTAACCTGAGAATAATCAAATTTTAAGATCTGAAGCTTGTCCAGCAAAAGCAGATAAACTTAAAATAAAATAAAATAAAAAAAGGAATAAATTCATGTGTCCCAAATGTTTCTAATTAGTACTAAAAGATTTACTAATTCCTAAAACAACTAAATCTGTTTGATATGTTGTATGTGAAATTTAAATTGAAATTTTATTAACAAATAAATAATAATCAATTCACCATATCTGACCAGATGCTACTTTATTATTGAAATTTGATATATTCTTTTGTAAGAGGTGGTGCATCGCATACCCCGGATTTATTCCCAGGAATATATAGATAAGGTTATATCCTTTTAGCATAATGGAAGTTTGTTTTGATTGGCCTAATATTTATGATTGACATGTCCGAAAATTGAAGAATTAGCTGTTAGTATTAGTGTTGGTATTTGCTTTGTTACATATGTATGTTGATAAATAAATAACAAATAGATAAATAATAATCAAATTATGCTTTGTCAATTATTTCACAAAAGAATTATTGTATTTATTAAACACACCTAGACAGAAGATTTTGGATACCTATTTCTGTATTTATGTTAATTACTCTGACACATACACAGTAATTAAATAAAAAAATTTAAAAACATACTTCTGGTACATCTAGGTGTTCAATAATTATGGTTAAATTTTAAATTACAAATTGATATAAATTTTTATATAATTATTATGAGTAATTAATGTAAATAAGTTACTTGAAACTTTTATCTAGGAATGTGTGTATGACATACATGTGTTTTAAATAAATTTATATTTTAATTAATTTGAATTTACGCACCTTTAAGTAAAAAAAAGTTGAACTAAAATTGCATCCAATTTACAAGATGCATTAGAATATGTAGATAAATGGTAGCAAATTAATGATAACATATGTTTGAAAATTTATATTTTGTTAATTTACCTTTGAAATCAATAGCTTTTTTTGTTAAAAAATAAATATATACATGAATTAGTACTCCATACTTCATATTCATCTACTCATAAATTTTTATAAAATATCTATATAGTTAATTAATATCATGTAATCATAATATTCACATTAATTTTTTATGTCACTGATTCATAAATGACTGAGAGCCATTTCCAAATTGTTCACACATTCACTGATTAACCAATGTATTCTTCATGTTTCTGCTTTATCTAATACTTATTTAATATAAAAATTGCTTATAAGGTAAACTCCTTCAAACACTTGATCTGACTTGATCTGGAAATTTTGAAAAGTTGACGAAAGTATAAAGAACAATATTAATAATAATAAAAAAATTTCTAAAATGCAATCAGGTGAGTTATCATATGACTGATTAATATATTTTTTTATTATTCTTCTTTGATCAATAATAAAGGGTACAACCTCAAAATCCATCCGGATATGCTGAATTAATTATTAATACTATTTCTTTAAATTAAAGGTGAAAATCATTTTGATGATAATAATCCAACACAAGAAAAAAACTAGTTTTGATAACATCCACCTTTTTTTTTTAATTTATGCTTCCCAAAAAATTATGTTTAGATAAAAATTTTGTTTTCACCAACTTAACATTAAATATTAAATATTTAGTATTTAATGTTTAATGTTTAATGTTAAGGTATCTATACAATGCTTTTAATTTTGTGAAACAACAAAATCCTTTTATGTAAATTATTTAAAGTGAAAAAGTAAATGATCATTCCTGAATCAGATATTTTCATTCCTGAAACAGATAATTTTGTTACACCAATTCAATTCTGTTTCTTTTTAATGTTAATAATAATTATTATTATTAGGGCGCTGACATATATTAGCTAATATTTTAGGGGGTGGGGGATAACAGAAAATCTTAGGTCACACATAATCTCATAAATAACGTGATCATAATGGCT